TTCTAGTCTTCTATAAATTATTAGAACTAAGTTAAGTACTTCTTTAATTACTTTTAAATAAAGCTCCTCTGCTTTTATAAATCTTTTTTATTTTTATTTTTATCTTTATATTTGTTCTTGTCTTCTTTCTAAATAAACTAATTAAATTAACTAATTACGCGCGTGTATACAAATTAAGAACGCTTTAGAGATAGCTTACGTAGGCAAGTTAGATATAACTAATAAGTAGATAGTAGAAGGATAGAGATAGAAAGACAGAAGTAGTATTAGTAATTAGTATAGTTAAGCTATTATTCTTCTAAGCGTGTTAAGGATGTAAATATAAGTATAATAGTAATAAATTATACCTAATATACTTTATTACCTAAGCTAGTTAGAAGAATACCTACTTAGTTAGAAAAATAGTATATAGTTAATATCTTTCTTAACTTTCTAAAATTAAATTAAGTAACTTTATAATTACTTACAGCTTAACCAACTCTACTACTATACTTTTCATTATTTTTACTTTTCTTTTTTTAGTTATCCGCCTCTTAAATACATTAATTAAACTAGCTAGCTAGTTATATATATAGATAAGCTAAATAAGCTTTAAAAAATAGTTAACGTATATAAGTAAGCTAAATATAATAAATAAAAGGTTAGTAGCAGAATAAAAATAAAAAGGTAGAAGAAGTGATATATATTAGTATATCTAAGCTGTCTATCTAGGCGTATTAAGCAGAAAGATTTATAGAAAATATCTATATATAGTAGTCTTTATACTTAAGAGTTATTGTAACCTAAGCTAAATACTTATTATATAACTACTATACTTAGATATTTTAGTTTAGAGTAAGAAACCTATTTACTATACTTATATCTCTACTAAGTATTTTACTAAACTTTTTACTAGTATACTAATAGACAATACTAAAAGAGTATATATAGTCTTAGAACTAGTAATATAAGTTACTAGTAAAACAGGTTGTATTAGTAATAACTAAGTAATTACTATATTTAATAGCAGCTTCAATTATAGTTTTACTTGTAGTTACTACTAAGTTCTTGAATACTTAGCCTTTAGTAGTTATAGTTCTATTATATATAATAATATACTCTATATTAAAAATAGTAAGAACAAGTATAATAATAGAGCTTAAGATATTAAAGTATTAAAGTTAAAAAGAGAATTTTAAAGGTTATATTTTAGTATTTTTTAAAGTTTAAATTTTATAGTTTAAATCTCTTATCACCTACTATTAACTATAGTTATTAATATCTATTGAATATAAACCTACTAAGTTATAATTAATGTATTTAATTATATTATAAAGTTTTAAAAAGTACTCTTTTTATCTTAATAATAATATTAAGCGCTAGAGTTTTATAGCTTTATTTATTATCTTTAATATTTCTAAATAAGTATATATATAGACATATATAGTAAAGCTATATAAGTATTTAAAGTTACACTTCTACTATAATATAATATAGTATAATATAATAGTCTTATACTTATATTATATTACTCGTACGTTATCTATATTACTAAATCTAGTTTTAACTTATAAGTAATTATTACAGTTCTAAGTTTTTAGAAGTATTCCTAATCTATATTTATATATTATCTTCTATACTACTTTACTCTAAAAATATATATCTCTCTTAAATATATTACTTATATATATATATATATATATATTTACTTAGAACTAGGTTGTAGTACGTTCTTTAGTATAGATTAGAGCTATATATATATACAAGTAATATTAAAACTTATAATTGCTATATATCTAATATTATATAGCTTTTGTAACGCTAGTTTAATATTATATATAGTTTTAATATTATATAAAAAGAAATTAATCTTTTTAGTATATCTAGATTAGTAGAAAAATAGATATATATCTACGAATAAAAAGATAGAAAAAAAAATACTTTATAATTATATATATTATAAACTTTTTATAAGTTTAAAACGCTATACTATAAGGTTTTTTATATAATATTAACCTCTTAAATTACTATAATTACAACTATAGCTAATTACAAGTGTTTCTAGTTTAGCTAATTGTATTTATACTTCTATCTTATATATTACATCCTTAGGGACTCTACAAGTAGGGTAAAAAAAAACACTTTAAATCTATATGTCTAATGTAGACTTCTAGCTCTACACTACTAGCTTAATAGTCTTGCCTACGCTAGGTGTGCCGCTAGAGTCGATCGCAAACAACAACCAAAACCCTGGTAATGCTACCCCCGGATCGCTTGGAACAGTCACAGTATAACTAGTGCCACTTCCCGTAGATGTTAATGGGATCCTTCTCTGATCTGTGTTGACTGTGTGAGTTGCTGTGCCGAACCTGACCAGCGAGAACCTCGTCACAACTCCCGTCGTTGTGATGCTTAAGGTTGCACCTATTCTAACGCTAGACGCTACGGTACTTATGACAGGGCGAACACGTCTTGTTCCATCAGTGTTCAGAAGGTAAGGTGGTAAGAAGATTTCGGCGTCGAAGTGGTTACTTTCTGGTACCCCACCGTACTGTGTGCATGGACCACACAAACCACCACCGCCGGTGAAAATCGTTGCATCTGGAAGAAGAATCGCAACCGAGTGGTATGTTCGCGGAATCTGCATGGGGTTGAGCTGTGTCCATCTCCCAGTTGCGGGATCCCAGAGTTCAGGCGTAAGCTGTGCCGTATCGTCCCTAAACGGTTGGAGTCGCGATTGTCCGCCCGTAACAAAAACGGTGCCATCGGGCAATACCACACTATTGGCGAAACCACGCGCATACATCATAGGCTGTGTCTTCGTAACAGTCGGATTTGTCTTGGGTGTACTAATGGTGACAACATACGCATTCGTTCGTCCGTCACTAAGCGGGGTCGCCGTTAGCATGCACATGGCCCACGGTCTTCAGCATTGATTTCCATACCTGTTCTCATAGTCTGCAGCCCCTCCTGCCGTGAGTATCTTTCCGGCTGTGGCGTCAAACATAACAGCGTTCCCATTCATAGCGTGCCCATCGTCCAAACGGTTTCCAGCACCTGTGGTGCTACCAGCTCCAACAGTGTCGTACCAGTTCATTGCGATAGAAGGCCCAGCTTGAAAGACTGATTGGTTTTTCCAGCTAGATTTTGTCATTTTGACGAACGATACCAAGCATGCGCACCACTTACCCGAAAAGCCAGGCATGATTGTCTGAACGCCATACGCCACCACGATCGGCCGTAAGCATGGGACTGACAAGAGCGTTCTGCAACAGGGTCCATGCATTCGAAGTGGGGTTGTATATTTCTCCATTCTTGCCACCAGTTCCTCCGCTCCAAGAGCCGCCAATGTTGAAAATGCGTCCATCCGAGCACGTAGTAGTGGATTGATATCCCCTAGCTATACGCATGTTACTTCCTGGATTCCATGCTCCTTCTAATGGGTCATAGACACTGGTCTTCGCCGCGTCGCTGCCACCCGTGACAATGACCCGACCGTTGAAGTCCATTGAGATGCCGGGGCAAAACATGTCGTGTTGTGTGTTCGATACTTCCAATTGCGTGGACTCGCCTGTAGCAGGATCGTAGATTCCCGTTTGAGTGAAACCTCTTTGGCCACCGAAGTTGTCTTTCGCGAACGCCGACCACATCAGCACTTTCCCGTTTGGAAGCAATGCCGCAGCTGCCGGTATGAGCGGAAAATTCACGGTCTTTTCCCACAAGCCCTTGCCTGCTGCTGGTGGGGCGTATGTTGTGTCTTCAAAGATGTTGATTTCAGCGATGGCCGTCCACTGATTGACGTTGTTCTGCGCTTCGGACGTTGCAGTAATTCTTATATACCGCGCTGGTCTTGGGACAAAGAAGGTTTTCTTCGTGGATGCATCGTTGTTGTATGTACCAACAGCGGCGATCTGCCAGCTTGTGTTGTCGGAACTGACTTCAATCTTGTGACCTCCAATTCTGCCGTTCGCGTTGTCACTCGGACGCGGTTGCAGGCTGACTGCGTTCACATTATATGACGATTTCATGTCGACAATTATCCAGTTAGGCAGAGGGTCAACAGGGGCGGGCTCATACTTGGAGTGCCAGAAGCTTGTTCCATTCCCATCGAGCGCTCGATAAGGCTCATTACCAGCCTGGAAACTGTCCGACGTGGCGGTCCATCCGGAGCGGCTGATAGCAATAGAGGCAGAATCGACAAGACCAACGAAGATTGCGGATGCGATGAGAATCGCTGATATAGAGAACGTGAATCCCATATTGAACCAGCGTAGACGAGTTTAGCTTATCTGATGCTGATGTGAGTCTTGTGATGGGAAGGCCTCTCAACTTATAGCTCTCGACGAAGTCCCAAGCGCTGGTCAGCTTACGCGACGCCCTAAGCCCATCAGCATCGCGTGTTTCGCATTGGTTCTTCACCCGGCTTTGCAAGCACGGTGTGACACACATCCAACGACAACAAATCCAGTGGTTCCAGTGCAAAGCCTGTCCATAACACACTCATGTCTAAACATAGACATATGGTAGCCATCGCCAAGTTACGACGGCACCGAACTAGGGCAATGGTGGAATATGAAATATTTGTTCTCGTAAAGAACGCCATGTGGCGATGAGAGTCTCGCAGCCTACCTTAGCGATAGGTATAGCACTGCTTGCTCCAGGTTGGTTGTATACTCTGGCTGTGGGATATATTAGCGTGCATACTAGCTGCATAACGAGAGCCTGGCAGCACGCGCTCCAAGACCGGACCGGGTATTCGGACTCCGCTGTTACTATGGGACGCAACTGGTTAATCTAAACTACTATAGTCCTCAGCAGGCGTAGTGTCCAATATTGGATGCATGCAGAACTATCTCGGCTATGTATAGAGGGTGGGTCGAAGTTCGGTTCGTATCGCTGACCGGGAACCTGCATGAACGCCGCCAACTCTCCAATGAGCTTCTAGACCCACGAATCCGTACGCTAGTCATGCGTGATAACATATCACGGCCATGTCTTCAACCACTAAGATTCTGTCCCGTCTAGTCCACAGTTTCAATAGATTCTGGGATATGGTCCGCCAAATGGGTGAGATCTGGCATATCGTCGTCACCCTCAGGCTTATCGCTATCGGTGTCATTGTTCCACTCCTCCTCCTCCTCTTCATCCTGGTCTTCTTCACTAGCGGCTGTGTCTAGGCTTCCTTTATACCATGACTCTGCCAAGTTAGATCTATGCTCTTGAATCTGACAGTACGTATACGAATCAATTCCAAGGTCCGTTGCTAGCTCCCACCAGATCTTGTCAACTTCGCTGGAGAAATACGAGGCTGGTGCACCAACTTCGTCTCGACAAGTCAAGGTGATCTCTTTGAGAACCGGAGGCGGCTTGGCGTCGTCAGTATCCGCCGACACGAAGCCTGCCACCCAATTCTCAACTTCTTCGCTAGGATAATAGATCTCTAGTGTCTCTAGCTTGGGTGGCAAATCCTTTGGTCGGCAGGATTTGCTCTCCCAAGGCATGGATCCGACAGCAAAGAGGAATGCTTGCGGAAGGACGAGATGTCTCAAGACGTCGAAGTGCTTAAGTGAATCCTTCGGACTTGTTATCATATCGAGCAGCCACTCGAGCTCTGAGTCATCATCGGTTATTTCAAGCGTGATAGCAAGCGTCTCTAAGGTGCTTTTCATGCTATTCAATTGATCCATGAAGTAGCCTCCTTCAAGCTGCGTATTCAAGTCATCACCAATGTGGTAGCCGTCATTGATACTGCAAGAGTGAGAGCTTAGCATGTTTACCGCAAAAGGCAAATGTGTGGTCTTACAGTAGTATCTTGAGGCTTCGAAGCTGAACGCAACCGAGTGCGTCGAAAAGATCACCAAGTTGTATTTCGGCCTTTTCGATGAGGAGACGATCAGCAAAATGTACCGATACAGTCAAAGCTAGGTCCTCAAGGTTCTCGGCACCCTCCAGACATCCAGGTCCGTTGAGACGCAGAATGGTGCCAATGGAAATCGTTTTCAGGTCCAAGCTTGTCAGGCTAGCAAAATTGATCCCGGACTTGAACAGATGTGTATCACTAGTAGTGAGATGACGAAGAGTACCCCATCCGTTGACGATGCTGTCAGGGGCGGACATGCCCCCAAAAAGCCCCGATATGCACTCGCTTGATGGCGGACCTCGATGATGATCCTTGACCCAGAACTCGAGGTGTGTGAGGTTTGGAAGGAGTAAAAGTAAAATCCCAGCAAACCCTGACTCAATCGAGTTTTGAATCGTTTTATGCCAGGGATGCTTCTTGTAGCCTAGTTCTTCCAGCCTTGCTAAACTTCGCGTGCGCAACGGCGCAAGGCTAAATCCTTGCTCTTCACAGATCTTTGCGACACTCTTGCGTACAGTTCTGATGCGTAAGCTTTTCACTTGGGTTGCAAGATCAGGGCGATCGAAGAGCGTACGAAGGAGCCTCAGAAGAGGGTTTATCTTGGAGTGACAGCCACAGGAGATCGATAGCTTCGCTACAGTATGCAGAACCTCCTGCCCAGCCGCACGGAACTTGCGAGACGTGAGACATAGACTTTTGAGAGACCTGGGTGCGGCCGAGTCGGGAAGATGAGTCGCGATCTGCAGTAGCAGCTCCTCCGGTAGCTTATGGATCGGTGCGTCGAATGGAAGCGCCATTATGGGACCAGAAGAGCACTTGGAGTACTGCGTGAGATGAACGCGAGGCCGGTTGTGGTGAGTACTTTGTTCCAACCTGTTGCGCAGATATTTCGGAAAGTCGTATGTAACAAAACGCGCTTCTTGTGAGTTGCAGGGCAGAGGCAAACACTGTTGTATACTCTGTCAGCTAGGGAAATTGGCTCCGCAACTAACTCGAGCGCAAATTTCACCGAAAGAAGTCGGAACTGCTAAGCTTTTATGAGTTGGGCTACTAAATGTGGCGCTGGTGTCTTAGACTGGTGATGAACGGCTGACATGATGCTTGCGAATGAGGACGAGAGTGGTGGCGGGGATAATCTCACATGATGACGTAATCACATGCTCATCCATGGAAGGGGTGCAGACACAGGCTACAAACTTGACAACTCTCAGTGTTTCTCTGGTAGGTACGACCAGTCGCCTTCTCCTATGGGTAGAACGCAATTACACGTCCCTTGCTCGCGCTTTCCCCTCCCTCAGTTGCATCTTGAGCAGGAACAACAAACTTGTCACCACACCCATGCCGCTCAGTCCGACACTAACGTACATGGCACCTCGATAGCCGCTCAGTTTGTCTGAGACCGTCGCTCCGCCATTGTTGACATGCACCTCCACTGTGCCCGCAATGCCAACCCCGATACTGATACTGTAGTTCACGATGGTGTTGACTAAGCTCGCCGCCATACCTTGGTGTTTCTTAGCAACAGCGTTACTCATAATCAGTGTGCCAGCAGGAAAGCTCATGTCCATGCCCCATGGAATGATAAGCGTGGTGACGAATGTCTGCGCCCAATACACTTGGCCGATTGGCAGTGTAGCGACGAGGATACTACCTGTCAAGAAAGCAAGCATACTGATGAGCATAACCCATCCTGGACCGATACGTGAGATGACATGGCCGGTGGTAACGGCGGCGATGAAGCCTGAAATTGCGACAGGACAGAGATGAGCCATCGTCAGGAGAGGAGAGTCGCCTCGCAGCTGTTGGAGAAATTGGATGAAGTAATAGACCCAGATACCTGCATTCGCTGTCAATAAGATTTTCCCCTACACGTACTTTGGTAAGGTCGTTACTTACCGAATGCAGCCCAGCCGCATGCTATGCAGGTCAACACGAATGAGACATCCGTGCTAAGAACGTCGAACGGGATGAGGGGCTTCTTGGCAACTTTGATCTCTATCCAAAAGAAGACCGGAAACAAAAGAATGCCGATTATTAGCAACACGTAGATGTACGGGTGCTCCCATCCAAAGCCTGGTGCTTGGTTCCAGGCAAAGTTGAATAATATCATGGCGGTGATACCCACGCTTGCGCCGAGGAGGTCAAGCTCGCGAATTCGCTCTCTATGGGAGAGACTGCGAACATCCGCATCAAGAGGCACCGAGGGAAGAATGAAGATTGACAAAGAGGCAAGGCAGAAGAGCGCAATGCCAAACGTCCAAAAGGTCCACGGCCACCACAAAAGCGACCATAACCCAGCGAATGTCCCGCCGACTACAGCACCACCTACAAAACGTTAGAAAGCATACCAAGGAATCGATCAAAGAATACTTGCCGGGTGCGCATGCTCCAAACAGCGAGAAAACCATATCCTTCCTCCTTCCCTCATTGTATGTTGCGCCTAAGAGGCCGAGTGCATTAGGCAGCAATATTGCTGGCCCGATGCCACCCAACACACGTGAGAAGATGAACAGCACTTGGCCGCCATTCCCGTCAACGTACACACTGCATCCAGCCACTATGTTCCAGATAGCGAACCAAACAAAGCCCACGATCAGCATGTTCTTGTATCCGAACAGATCTCCACATCGACCGGACAAAAGGATGAAAGTGCCAACCGTTAGTGAATAGCCTGCTATCAGCCAGGACAAGATGCCAGGGTCGGTGATGCCAAGATCAGGTCCGATGATGTGCAGGATATTCAAGGTACCGAGGAGACCTGCTTGAGTGACGAATTGAGCAGAACAAAGCAGGCCGACGAAGAGAATCTCGCGCATTGGAGACATGGTCTCTGCAATAGACTTGGTTTTCGCTAATTCCAGGTCCTGGTGCTGCTTAGAAGCGTGCGCAGAGGCGTGAGAGCTGTGGCGATCCATGTCTTCGTGGGAATCACTGTAGTCGAGGTCGCTATCTGGAGGAGAAGAAAGTTTCTCGACCGTTGGGTCGGGTGATAATCTGGTCTCGTCCATTCTTAGACGCTTCGAGGACACGACAAAGCAAGGATTTCGTCGGATGTGATCTTGCAAATGTCTTTGAGTCGTAAGGGACGGCTCGGAGGTATTAAGTCGTGTCCTTGGAAGCTGAGCGATGATGAAAGACTTTCAATTTTCGCGCCTGAGTTGTTTTGGCTGCACGTTCCGAGATGGAACCGCGATGGCGACAGTGCTGATCGACTACCGACGTGTTTGGACGCGGGTGCAGAAAATGTCCGTGTGAAAATCAATATCGTTTTCCAAAGAAGAGGGAGATCTGCCTACAAGATACATAGCGACGCGCTTTACGAGCTAGCTTGTCGCCTAACGTACTCGACATTTGCATGCTGATAGTTCAGGTTGTAAAGCTTTACGTGAGCGCGGAATTGCGTCGTTAGAGCGAAGAAAAGCGGGTCTGCCGAACCTCGGCCGCTGTCAAAGGCACCATCTCATGATATTAAGGTGCGCAAAAACGGTTTCTTCGGGCAAAAGAAAAGCGGGTTTCGGTTTCGCATGCAAGAGTCTAGATCCGCCAACAAAGCTTTCGCAGTTTGCGATGCTATGTAAGCCTTGACATAAGCGTTCGCCGTGAACATGCGAAAACCGTCACACCAAGTTGTCGCGAAAACCCCCCACACCCAGCGCCCCAAGGGTAATCCTCTCGCTGTATCTGCCACGGTGACCAGAGCAAGTTCCCCAACTACTGTTGTTTCCTGTCCTCGTAAACCCGCACTCCCAAGAGTTTCCATACAGCCCAGCTGTGACCACCCACCCAAATTGGCCCGCCTCGCCAAAGCGGCAATACGTCATCCGTTCCACGCCTCCTCTGAGCGACAGGCTTCTCCCACTCTCCGTGCTGGAACCGTGCGACATCGTCGCTGCTTACAGCATGTGTTCTCGCATTTGCAGCCATCGTCCAGAACCCTATCACATGGCCCTGGTCGATCTTGTGTTTTAGCCAGCCTTTGCCCTCATTCTCTTCCGGGCTACTATCAAGAAGTGATAAAAGCTCGGTGCAGGTATATTCGGCTTTGCCTTTTGGTAACGTTGCAGAGCTCAATTGAGTGCGGTGAGCTGAAGTTGGAATATTGTCCACGACGATGGGAGACCAGAGGAAAGGAACTGGCGCATACATAAGCCTTAGTGACAGGCTCAGCAAGACTGCGACAGGAAAATCAAGACCGATCGATACGCCTGCACGGAGAGCTGATCCGAAAGTGAGCCTTGGTGGAGATGTAGGCGTCGAGAAGTAGATCAAGTGTCTTTGAAACGCGGTATAGGTAGAGCGAGACATGGTTGCCAATTCTCTTTCTTTTTATGGGGAGTACGCAACGAGTTGAAGACGTTGAGCGGACACGTCCATTCTCTGAAAAAGCATTCATGGTGTAATATTGGACAGTCATGACGTCACGCGAAGCTACTGCATCAGAAGACAACACGATACATGAAAGAGGTAGGTTCTCAGCTAGCTCGGTTCAAGTCGTTGTTTCATCAACGTCTAGGACAATTGCGAAAGAACTTATAGCTGCGGAACCTATTTGTGAAGCGACAAGATGAGGATTCTGTTCACTGCTTAGGCATCCGTTCGCCGAATACACATTGCAAGCCTTCGACATCAATCTTACTCGCGCACGCAGGGTATGAGTCCCCTTTCGCGTTTTCTATAGCATTATCAAGCCTCCTACAGCTGCGGCAATGATCGTACTACCCAAAAAACTCGTGGAAAGACCTCCAGACGCAGCTGCGGTATAAGTAGGCATAGGGAAGCCAGTTGCCGAGGGTGCAGTCCCATTACCGGAGGTTCCGTTGCCTACTAGGTCTGGGAACAGGTAGCTGGTGTTGGCGTCTACAACAATCCAGTTCCGCACCAAAGCCGTTCCGTTCATGACTGACTCCCACTGCTCCGCTGTGCATTGTCCGGGATCAAGAACGTAACACTGCGTGCCTTCGTCGACGATTGGTTCATTGGTTATGTTGTACACGTCGCTTGGCCCTTCGGTTGCGTAGTCAGGATTTTCGGTTGTGGAAACATTTCCGGTGCTGATGTCGCGGTTGAAGAGTGCACGTGTAAAGATCCTGTACGCAGTCTCGGGTTGGTAGGCTGGTACCTCGTGGCCAGCTTCGTACACGCGTGTGAAGGACAGATTTCCGTACTGACGCACTTGACCTCCAATATAGGTGTCGTTGACAATGACAGGCGCATACCCTGCATCCGCAAACGAGGTGGCGTTGTCGTAAGGGATGGCGAGGGAGAGCAGTTCACCGCCATACCCTGTGTTCATTATGCAAACTCAGTACGTGTCTCACATCAAAGTCTTACTGGGTGCTACTCACAGTTGCAGGCGTAGTCTCGGTCGCCGTACACCAGCGTTACCTTGATGCCTTCTTCGAGAAGGTATGCCAAGTCTTCCTTCCAGCCTGGACGTGGGTAGTCGCCAATGCCGCGGAATGCCCGCGATACCGCAGAGTTTGACTGAGTCCAGTTCAAGGGCACGCCTAGCCCCTGCTGCACATGAGGCTGATTGAGCCAGCCCTGATACCATGGAGGTGGGAATGTTGCCGCGCCAGGAGCAGAGATGTCGTAGTAATTGAGGTCGGTGTCGAAGTACGGATCGCGAATCGTCTCGGAACAGAATGTCTCTGCAGCCTCGCATACTTCGTTGACGGTCTCGTTGAACCCTTGGTTGGTGGGGTCGTAGGCAACACTAAGGTTGCGACACTCTTCAATTTGGTCAAGACATCCTCCTTCACGGTACAGATTGTCAAGCACTTCTTCGTAACGCGACTCATTGACGGCCTTTATACCGTATGTGTTGTTGTACTGCATGGTCGGGTAAGCTGGCCACTGCACGTAGCGATCAATGCAGCCGTTGATGATAAGTAGAGTATCGAGATGGAGAAGATGAGTCTGACCAGCTTCGCTCCACGTTCCATTCTCTATTTTCTCGTTCTGCTCCTGGAAATAGGCCGCAAAAGCAGGTCCGTATCGACCTCCGTACGACTCAGTTGCGATCGAGATTCTGTCATCATTCGGCTTGTGTTCAGGAAATTCTTGAAACCAGACTTGGGCGAAGTTCCAGAGAGCTCGTGCAGAGTTCTCCGTGCCACGGGTGGTGAGATTGTAGTTCTCACTGGGATAGGTGCCAACGTAGAAGCTGTTGTTTTGTGAGGGGATAGGACCGTTCTCAAAATCTACCACTTCGAGATCGCCGGTGTCTAGATTAGTGGTGATATTCACCAAACTGTCGTAGCTCATGCCTACTTGGACGGGTTGATCGAGGTAAAGCATGTTAACTGTACTCTTCAGCTTTTGTTCTTTACAGATCAGATCTTGTAATCTGGCTGATCTTACCCTCATTATTCCAAGACCACTCGTTGAGGTAAGTACTATTAGAGTCGGCGCCAATAAAGCAAGGTCCGTTTTCACGCAACAGTCCGACGAAAGAACTGGAGCCCGGTCCACCTCGAAGCTGTTAGCGAATACTGTAAGAATCCCTTGTAGGCCACCTACCGTTCATCCAAATGGAAAGAGGCGCATTGGCAGGGTCTTTCCTGGATTCGAAAAACCAAAAATAGGTATTGATCTCATATGTCTGGTTCTCAACACCTAGATCGGCCAGTGCTCCAGCCGGGCTGCAAGTTGGTGTACGAGATCAGTATATATCTCATATGCAGTCCGTGCAAAGACACTTACAGATGGACATAACCGGAGAAGCTTCGGACGCCGTCAGTGGTTTCGCAAAGTTCGGTCTGGGGACAATCAGTGAACAATGGAAGTAATCTACAAGGATTTGACCTGCCTCCTTGTACGCAGAGTTGCTAACAATCAATCCAAACTGATGAGACTGACTGACTGACTGATTGCTTGGCAGTCAGTTCAGTGTCAGTTTAGAGCTCTCGTCTTATCAGTCAGTTCAGTTTAGAGCTCTTAAAC